TCTTATATATTCTAAGTATGTGAGTCAAACAGACAAAGACATAGAAATGAAGTGACTGTACCACAACAGGCAGAGCTGTCTTTGTGACTTGCCATTAGGGTCCAATTTGAGTGGTGAAGTTACTGTACTAGATTGCCAGAGTTCCTTAAATGGCAACTAAAAGCACTGCCCATAGTTGGCTTTATAACAGAGAAAACTGCTCATTTAGCCTTCAGAGTTTGACAAAGCAAACTTTATCCTAAATGTTCTCTGTGAGGAAGGGAGGGATGCTTTTGAACAAGATTAGTCAAAATAGTCTCTTAAAAACCAAAGCTCTTATCAAAGTAAAATTCTTGAGGTGCCTTTGACTCTGGAAAGCTAAGCAGTCCATACCCATGGACAAGTGTCATTAAAAACAAAAAATCTATTCACAAAAGTTCAACTGTGTCTCAAGTGGTTTTGCACCCTGTGTTGTGCACTGAAAGCATACTTCTTGAGGACCAGTTTTAAGATTACATGTTTTGACTCTTAAAGCAGGAGCTTGAACAGTATTCTGTTTGTTTAACTCAGTATTAACTTTATAGAAATCTGAGTCCTAGAAAGGCAGATTCTCCAGGACCATCCACTAAGCATGAGTAAACTGGAAGAAAACATATCAGAAGTCATGACTTTCATTCATTCCCTTCACCACAGCCCAAAATGTTTGCCTGCTAGAAGGCACTTGGGAAAATAGCCACCATACCACAGTGTCTGTGGGGAAGAGAGATGGTACTGACAAGGCTGTAATCACTGCCTTCTCCAGGGCTCCCACTGCCTTCTGCTTTCATAGGTCAGTGAACCCTTTGGAGTGCTAGCTGAATGAGTCCAGTGGGCCAGACTCCCTACATGGTGAGCAACTGCAACCCTGATGACACAGACCACATGCCAACCCAAGGAGTAGCGACATCGACATCGCTGTCCAAAACATACATGCTGTTGACACTGGGTTATTCGTGATGGGCTGGGCAGGGACTTAGGACTTAACTCTTGATGATTCTTTTGACTTGTAATTGTGACTAACACAGAAAACTCAAAAGAGGATTGCCAGAAGAAAATTTGATGAAGATAATTGCAGCAGAGGAAAACTTAATGGAGATCATTATTCTGTGACAGTGGGGTGCCTGCACAGGGAAAAGGAGGTTAGGCAAAGACCACCACCTTAATCCAGCTGCTTCTCCATACCACAGGAACACAGGACAAATCTTGCCCTCCGAGAAATCTTGCTCAATGGTCTGACATCTTCCAAGAGGTCATGCTGCTAGAAAGCCACATCCGAGTCTAGTTGCCACAGCCATAGTTTCCAATACTGTGCTATGAGACCATACCACAAAGACAGATACTCTCCTGGAAGTCAGGCCATCTGATGGCAGACTTGTTTGCCATCAATATCAGTATTTTAGTCAGTTCAGGCTGCTAGGACAAGATACTGTAGATTGGGCAGCATAAACAACAGATATTTCTCACAGTTCTAGAAGCTGGAGGTCCACGACCAGGGTGCCAACATGGTTGGGTTCTTGGTGAGGGCTCTCTTCTTGGCTTGTAGAAGGCTGTCTTCTTGCTGTATCCTTACACCTGAGAGTAAGCTCTCTGGTGTCTTGTCCTCTTCTTATAAGAGCATTGATCTCATCATGGGGGCTCCATCCTCATGACCTCATCTAAACCTAATTACTTCCCAAAGGTCCCACCTCCGAATATCCTCACTGTGGGTTAGGTTTTCAACATAAGAGTTTTGGGGGGACATAAACTTTCAACCCATAGTAGTCAGCCATGAAACAATAAGTTCCCCACATCACTGGCAACCATGCTGCCCTTTCTGGACTTGCCCTTTTCAAAAGTGGTTTAGGGGATGCTCTCCATTCCTGCCCTGCTTCTGTCAAGTGGAAGGGCAAAGCTTTCCTGAGGAGAGTTTAAGGAGGCAGCTGTTCTAACTGTTTCTCAGCTGCTGTGACCTTGCATGTACCTGCATGTGTCTTGAAAGGGCCATGTGCTTGGGCTGGAGATGGCCTGTATCTTCTCATCAGGATGATGAGTGGGTGCTAACCGACTAGGTTCATTGCCAGGAAGACCCCAGAGGCCATGCTGATGGCCTCTGTAGTGTGATGATGAAAGAGGTAGGTTAACATAGTGGAGGATCCAATTCTCAGTCCTCATGAATATCATAGCAGTGACTTATCTTACCAGCCTAAGCCTGGCCAGTGATTCCCTCCCTGCCCTCCACCTCCTTTAATGGAAAAGGAGAAATAAGAGATTTGAATCACTGCCAGAGACTAATTCAAGGCAGACTCTTCCCCGACCCAATCACCCTTCCATGAGAATGAAGAGAACTCAAGCTTCTGGACCATGCTTCCAAAACTCTGATCCTTTGAGAATTCATTTCTCGGGCTTCCGAGTTGGCAGGTTGAACATAGCAGCAAGACGATCCTCACTTCTCCCTTGAAGGATTTCTGAATGAAATGCTTTAGAAGAGTTTATTCCCGTTATGGTTCCCAGTGTCCATGGGGACAGAATGAGATCATCCATGGGAGAAGGGGCCTGCTCGTGGGCCAGGCTCAGAGTTGGCAGTTCCATTTCTGAGGTACCTCACAGAACCTGGAAGGTCCAGAGCATCGTGTGCCCCCAGTCTGGGATGTCTGCCTCCAAGGAGTCTGAGCAAAAGCTCAACCTGCAAAGGGCTTTTAGTCAGCTGGGAATCTGGCCAAGAGACCTTTTAGCTAAGTATTTTTTTTTGTTAACCATTTACAATACTACTTAAATTTAATTTTAGAAGAGTGCCATTCAATTGCAGTGACACAAATGGACATTGTACCAGTGAAAAACAAAATAAAATATGTTCCAACTGATCAGCGGCCTTCCACTTTCCAACCTGCATGGTATTTTTCCATCACAATTCATAAAAGTTTTTCAAACATAAAGAAAACTCATCCGAGTTTTATAGTAAATACCCATATTCTGAACACCTAGATGTTACAATTAACATTTTCTGTACTTGCTTTACCACAAATATGTCCACATGGTCACCCTTCTATTTAATGGCCAATGCATATTTTCAATGCATTTTAAATTGAGTTGTATATATCAGTATACTTTCCCCCAAATACTTCTGTTTTTATACCACTGTTTAGGTGTTTTTCATAGTTCTTTTCTTTTTGAAGTAAAATTTATATGTTCTATAATGCACAAACCTGAATCATTTGCATATGCCTGTGTATAAGCAAGCAGTGACCCATGCATACCTGAACCCAAGCCTGTATCAAGATACAGAATGTTACCATCACCCAGAAAGTTCCCTCATACTCCTTCCCAGTCATTCTCCATCCCCACCCAGTCAGAGGCAACCACTGTTCTGATTGTTTTTTACTACTGATTCATGTTCCTGTTCTGGAACCTTATCTAAATGGAACCATTCAGTATGAAATCAGTTATGTAAGGTTTCTCTCAATTGGTAATACGTTTTTGAGACTCAGGCAAATGGTTGTACATAACAGTAGTTCATTCCTTTTTATTACTGTGGAGTATTCTACTATATGAATATACCACTCTTTGTATATTCATTCCCCCATTGATGTACACCTAGGCTTCAAATTTTTGACCGTTGTGATAAAGTTAGTAAGAACAATTTTGTACAAATCTTTTTACAGACATGTGTTTTCATTTCCCTTGGGTAAATACCCAGGAGTGAAACTGCTGCATCATGGGATAGATGTCTGAATGTTTATTTCACATTGTCACCAACACTGAAGGAGTTCCAGTTGCTCCACATCCTTGTGAACATTTAATGTTATCAACCTTTCTCATTTTAGCTCTTCTGGTGGGTGTGAAGTAATTTAAGCTGCTATTTTAGCAAGTTTTCCAAATTAGGAAAAAAAATACATATATACAAAGATCAGGTCTGAAGTAAATATGGGTTGAAGGAAATCTAGAAATTGTAGTGTGCAATATTAGAAAAGTTTACCTTGTCCAAACTCAGGCCATACAGTTAACAGTTTGAGAGAATAAACAATGGCTGAAGGGATTTTTCAGTTTTTAATTCTCCCTACAATATTATATTAGAAAAGAAAATGTAATGCTTAGAAAACTGCAGCCTTCATTGATGGAGAAATAGGAATTCTGTGTTTACCCACAGAACTGGCCTCGTGTGAACCACACTGTGTTGCCTCCACTTGCCTCCTCGGGTCAAAGCCCCTTGAGGACCACCCCTGCAGACCTGGTGCAGCCTGCAACATGGAGCTAAGAATCACCTAGACAATTGGGACGGACTCCTGCCCCTTCCTCCCTCTTTCTGATACCAACCCTGGACCTGAGTGAAAGGAAATCCCATTTTTTGAGCATCAACACTATGCCAGAACCCATCCTAGGCACTGTGCATATATTGGCCGCTAATCCTCACAACAACATCCCTATAGAGTTATTGACAGTCTGATGTTATAAATGTGAAACCAAGACTCAGAGAGACATAGTAATGTGCCTAGGGTCACATAGAGATAGAAGAACCAGGATTCGACTATCAATCCTATGTTTTTTCCAGTCTACCTTGCTAAGCACCCAGAAAGCAAATTGCAAAGGGCTTAATAGTTCATTGGGTGCTGAGGCCAGTAGTAGAAGGTGCTGCATGTCTCTTGGTCAGGTTTGTCCCTGCTTTTCCTTTCTTTTCTGTTTCCTGCTTTCTAGTGTGTTTTCACTGAAGGTAGGGTTGATTCACTCCATCCCTGAGTATGATCAGTCTTTCAGAAGACACAGATGTAAATGAGCTTTAGCCTTCTTCTCCACAGCTGCCACTGTCTCCGGCTTTGAGTTTTCCCCTTGCACAAAGGGATAATTCACCTGGAACATCCATTCGCCTTCCCCTCAGTTTCTCAGAGCCTCACTGATTCCTCCCTGCTGTTTGGTCCTCTTCCTCCTCACTCCCTTATGCCCACAGTCAGGAAGGGAGGTAACCATGGGTTCATCACATGTTCATCCCGTGTTTCTCTAGACCAAGTTACCTGTTCCTGAAAAGCACTAGCTTGCTCCTCAAATCCCACGGTTCTGAAATAATTGACGACATCCATCACGGCCCAGTCGGCAGGATCAGGTGGTCTCCCATTTTCCATGGAACTGCAAAACACAAATCCAGACAGTTGTCATGGCAGTGTCTGCACAAGGGTGTGGCCAGGCTCACAGACGGGTCTTCTGGGGCAGGCCTCTCGTGTTTCTTGGGTTCAGATGATGATTACTCTCATAGGCTTAGTCACTGCTAATAAACCATTTGACATTTAATGTAAATTATTTCCTCTGGTTTTTAATCCAGAGACATTGAGAGTGGTCCAGTGACTACCGGCAGCCCAGAGTATGATATTCATACTTCTGAGTTCAGAACACCTGGTCTTTTACAATATGACCTCAACATACCTCTCTCTCTTCCTGTCTTCCTAACACCTTCCCTAGCCCCAACCCCACACATCTAGGGATAAAGCCCTTCCACAATAGGCCAAGTCCTTTTATAGATCTGAGCCTTTGCACATTCTGTCCCAGCCACTTACAATGCTCCCACACCTGTCTCTATTGGACAAAACTCTACCACTTCTACCAGTACAAAACTACCTCCTCTTTGAGGCATTTTTCTGGCTCTTCCAAGGGCATGTTTTAGTCATAACCTCCTTTGACTTCTAGAACTTCATTCAAACTCCCATTGTAGCACCTTCCACATTGAATTATACCCTCTGTTTATTGAACAGTCTCTCCCATTAGAGTCGGAGATGCAGGTTGGAGATATGCATTTGAGCCTAGACCATTTATCATTTTATTATTCCTAGTATCAAGAGTGTACTTAGGAACTTAATCCAGATTGTTCAAATAAATAAACAGATGACAATCAAGCATTTGTCTGAGAGGGTCTGTGAGTGAGGCTCCTCATTGGATTAGAGAGGAGGGAAAGGAGAAGTAGAATAAAGAATGGCAATGACCTGCAGTTACTGGGACTCTGCCTTATTTCTGCACTGGGAGTATTTGTCTCGCTTTCTCTATACCTCATCCAAGATGATTTTCACAGAGTGTACATCCAATCACATAGCCTAACTTTGCTTTGGAGGTCCTTCAGGACAAAGCCCCTCCTCACGTCTCCAACTAGGAATACACTGGAGAGCAAAACAGACACCACCCTTATTCTTATGGGCCTTACAGTCCTGTGGGGAGTGAACACTGATCAATAATCATACAAGTAAATATACAGCTGCAAGTTATGCTAAATGTTAAGAAGGACAAGCATCACGTACTACGATAGTTTAAGCAATAGGGGAAGCTTTCCCATGGGAATTTCTTTTCAGGTATGCTCTAAAAAGCAGTCAGAAATTAACCGTATGAAGAAGTCACATGAAGAATGTTCCAGGCCCTGTGGCAGAAACACATACAGCCAAGGGAGCCATGCAGGTCTTGGAGGCCACACTGAAGATTCTGGATATTTGTTAAGAGCAATGAGGATAATTGAATGGTCCTGTGTAAAGGGGGTGACCTGATCAGATTCACATTTTGAAAGAGAACGCTGGAGAGGAGCCAGTCAACAAGAAGTCTATTGCAGTCATGCAAGCCAGAGATCATGCTTAGACTAGGGTGATGGTTATGAAAAACGAGAGGAGTGTGTGGATTTAAAAGATAGCTAATGAATAAAATCAGTGTAACTTAGTGCTAGACCAGATATAGAGAATGGAGGGAGTAGAAGTGTCATGGAATTGGATGGATGGTGGTAACATCCATCCAGCTGAACACGCTAAATTTGGAGTACTGTCTATATCCAAGTGGAGATTTAATGTGGGCTATAAGTGTAGAGCGCAAAGCAGAAGAGTGGGCTAGATACACCTGTGGGAGACAGAGGCATTTAGACAATAATGGATATCTTGAGAGAGGAGGAGAAGAGAGCTGGGCCTAGAACTAAGATTGAGAGGTTCAATATTTAGTAGAAGTTGAAAAGATCCAGGTTACTTTTAATGGAAACAAAATTGGCTAGATTTAGGGAGATTCCTGAAGATCTTTAAAGGTCTAAGAGTCAAGGATCCAGCCACCTCATTCCCCAGCATAATGTTTTGCCCATAGCAGGAACCTAAAATATTTAAGAAAACAAAACCAACTTCTGTACTAGTTAAAGGGAGTCACTGATCAATGGCACATGTGATCGTTCATTTCTCAACAGCACCTAATTTAAAAACATTTAAAGCCAATACTCTAAATGTCTTCTCTTTTGGACTTAAAGATGGCGAATCTATAACCACTGCATGCCTGTATACACACGTACTCATGTGCACACATGCACACACACAATCTTCCTACCATTTAACAGGCAATATATATCAGGAAGAAAACTATTTTTCATCCTAACATTGCTAAATATTAACTATGTGTTTTTAAATCAATGGTAAATTTTTCAAAAAATTATCTATGTGCTGGAATTTTCCATACACTAGCAACATAAGCAATCAGCAACTGGCACTGAGGACCCTCTTCAAGGTACCATTTTCCTTCCCTCTCTCTTAAGGTGTCCTTGAAGAATGTTTGAAAAGGAGTTCATTGTTCCAACAAATCTTTACAGTTTTCTAATTAGCTCACTTCTGATAGTGAACACAGAGTCCCATCGAACACACTTTTAAGTGCCCCCAGAAAACATCTGAATTCACTCTCCCTGTGGTTGACTTCAGTTAGTTGCCTTTCCTCACCAAAAATAGTTATCAGACCATCACATGTAGCCCCAAACCTAAAATAAAACATTTTAAAAAGAATACTCAATTGTAATAACAAAATACGTTACATCATAATTTTAAGATGTGAGGCTTTCCTGATTTTTACTCTGGTGGGATATAACATCATGACTTCCATAATTTTGAAATATTCTTGAGTATAACAATGCCACAGAGAAGAAGGAGTTGTAAAACTGCTGGCAGTGTACCATGAATAGAAGCAATGTGGAACAGGGCACTCTCTCATTCGGAGGGTAAGGGAATTCACCCAGAAGAAACGGGGGGTTAGAAACCAACCAATACAAATGATTGATCTACTTAAGTTTAAAAGCCTGATAGCCCCCCAAAGCCAAATTAACGTGGAAAAAAAATCACATTAGACTATTGATATCCTGAGAAGAAAAATCTATCTTCATCTCTGTAGCACCAGCACCTAGCACAGTCTGACTGGTGCACAGTTGATACACAGCAAAATATCACAATGGACTAACAACCAGAGAGCACTTACAACTTAAAATCTGTTTTTCACACATTACTCAATATCAGCCTCCCACCTCTTTGTGAACTGGCTACTGTAACCTGCTTTTGGGAAACGAAGGCTCAGAAAGGTTAAGAAACGCACCCCAAATCGCATGGTAGATAAAGCTAGGATTGGATTCCAGATGTGCTTGACTCCAAGTCTATGCTTTTTTCCCACTATACTTATTCATTGACACAACAGATATTTATTGAAAGTCTGTCTTCTCAGTATTGTGCTAGATGCAGGGTTACAAGGACAGGGAATGCATAGTCCCTGCCCTCAAGGAGCTGGCAATCTGGTGAGGGAAAGCAGATGTGGAAACAGCTAGCTTTGAGGAATACTGGAATCGAGGGGTGAACGAAGTGCGGTTGAGGACGTATGTAAGGGAGGCTGGTTAGCTCTGCCTGCCTAGAACACTTGAAGATTTTCAATGGCAGTTTAAAAAGGCATTTATTGCCCTCAACACGCTCTGAGCGGGGCCCCAGAGACGGGATGGCTTGCAGAGGCATGTCTCCGCAGGCACACACCATCACTTCTAGGTTGCTTGTGTTAATGCACGATGGGTGATTTCACTGAGCTCTTCCAGTGGTTTCAGCAACAGTTTTAAGGAGAAAGCTGGTGATGATCCAAAAATAACATAACAAGGGCAGGCCAAGTGGAAGGGTGTGCAGCGCAGGAGCCAGAGTGCCAAAACCAGATAACATTTGACGTGGGAAGGTATTGGAGGATAGATTTAAGCAGCACCATTCTCTGCTAGGAATACAAGATGTCTCCCCAAGGACTGACATTTTGTCCAAATTGAGACACTTAGCTTTAGTTATTTCCTTATAAATGGTCCATTCTCGCCACATCTTTTCTTATGACCTTTGCATGTCAAATTCCAGAGGGAATTTAAATGTCACACTGTTTAAAATACCTGCCAGGTGGTGGTTCCATTGTGGCTGCTAATTTTGCGCTGATAAAATGAAATGGCAGATACAAAAGTGCCATTTTCGTTTGATATTTATTATTCACTATCGTCATAGCAAAATGTTTCTTAGAATATAATACATGTTAATATGACAAATTTATGAGTATTTTCCAGGCACATAATCTTTAAAATATATATTTTATATACAGCTTATTAAAAATTAGCAAGAAATCTCAGCACTTAATCAAATTATCAATGTTTCCATTTAGCTCAGTCACCTTTTAGTCCTTGTGCATATGGTTAGGTCCATCAAGTATTGATAAAAATTATATCATGCATGAATAATTCACACAAGGAAATGATTATACCCTAATTAAACAATCACCTCGTTTTTAATGAGAGTTAAGAGAGACACAACCACGGGGACAGAAATGCAATAATAACACATTTGGCAGATATATGCAGATCAATTGAGCCTTTATGATGAGGTTTTCATGTTGGCACATCATAATTTTAAGTTCTGGCAGCAAAATCTCCATTTCTCTTTGTAAGAAGGCAGGCAGAAAATAGTTGAAACTATTTTCTAGCATATGTACATTTTATGGTATTTATGATATTACGGATGCTGAGAGTTGGTCAGGCCAAAAGGATACTCTGGGGAAATGCAATCCACATGTAATATCACAACTCCATTATATTCATCAATTGTATTTCCACTTCAAAGTTCGGAGTAAGTTACTTTAGACGCTGGTTAACATATTATGATGATATATTTGTCACATTACTTTTTTTATAAAGCTGATTCTGAATGTTACTTATTTTTACACTCAGCAGTGCACTCTAACTTTGTGCTGCCTAGATATTTATAACTTATTTTCAAAATGAAATTAACCTACTCTTTGCTCATGTCTTAAAACAGCCTCTGGCTAAAAGCAATTTAATTCTGCTTCTAATAAATTAA